CTCTTTTTAAAATCATTCTATTTAGTTACTGGTTACGAGGGCAACCCAAAAAGGACTTTGCTCCAATTGAAGAATATACCAATTTAGTTATTGGCTTAGACACCTTAATCCAACAAGTAGAAGTTTATCACTTCAAATAGAAGAAGTAAAAAATAAAATATTATACATACACACTTCAAGTTATAACAAATAGATGAAGTAAAAGAACCTGAAGTCGTCACGAAATGTAGTGCAATGAAGCAATCTTCCCGATTCCTGAGGAATGATCAAATCATCCTGAAACCCGTGCTATCGAACTGTGAGAATTAAAAATGAAGAACATAGAATAGATTTATAGGTTGAATAGACTATTATAGAGTAAGATATGATGTATTATAGAGTTAAAAATGAAGCACATAGATTAGATTTATAGGTGAATAGACTATTATAGAGTAAGATATGATGTATTTTCGGATATTGATAACCATTCCAAAATTAATCAAATTAAAATCATACCAAAAATACTAGCATTAATAAATATACTCGAAAATTTAAAAATCAATATAATAACTGTCAAAATACATACCAAATATATTTTAAATCATACCAAACTTAATCATATTATTATCATCATATTTTAATTAAAATAAAATCATACTAAAATTAAAACATAAATTAGGAGCTGGATTTTTTTGTTAAATTTTTAATGTTAATAACATTACAAATAGCAACATACTTTCCATACATTTCTTCCTATTACAGTATTGTACTTTGAAGATTCGAAGCATCTTGTCCTAATATGGAAAAATTTAAAGTATAATGTTGTAATTGGGCTAAGTAAAAAAGTACAATAGCAACATACTTTCCATTCATTTCTTCCTATTACAGTATTGTGTAGAGACAACTGTATCAAAGAAAGTCATGCTATAAATAGAGAAAACCATATCGGAGAATGTACTCCACACAAAATTACAAAATGAAGAAAATTGTGAAATTATTTTATTAAGTTTGTACCTGACTCTTGGGCATTTAGGAAATTATTATATCTAGTTTGTACTTGAAAATCAAATTCTAGAAATTAAAAAAAACTTTATAAAGTAGTTAATAACATTACAATTAGCAACATACTATGAATTGTTGATCAACCAAATTGCTAACTGATACCATGCTTCCTTCCATATATGGAAACCCTATACTCCGCCACCTGACTGAAAAGGGCAATATGTTCATTTTACACTTTACTTCATTTTAGAATTTAAGTATTTAAGTAAGTTAAACAAGAAATATATAATTTTTTTGGTTAACCACATGAAAATTATATCCATTTTTACAACCTTGAATCAAATTATCTTGCTTTAAAAGGATTTCTATAGGGCTATTCTGTCCACAAGGATTATACTTGAGGTTAAATTTGTCAAAACGATGAAATATACTCTTATCCGCATCGACATCTAATAAGTCATCATTAAGTTCATACCTAAAGTAACACCCGTTTTCCTGAATAGATCAGCTAAAGACTTAATGGGATCAAATATGAGGTTTTTTTTTTGGAGAAAAACCCTATGCCACGACGTGGTGCATGGATGACTATGGCGTGGCATGGCTTTTATGAATTTATGCTATTTTGGACTTAGGGTTGTAGATCTTGTTTTAGGGTGAGGTTCTAACGGATAAAGTTGGAAACTTTATCCATTAAGTCACTGAGAAGGACTAGATCTGAAGTTTTGGGCTTAGATATATAAGGATTAAACTCTTAATGAAAAAAAGAGAGTTTTTCCAGCAACCATGATGCGGTCAAGAACGCCCACATCATGGTGGAATGTTGATTCGCGATTGTGTTGTCCTAAAATTCCCACGACGTGGCCAAGGAGGGACCACGACATGACAATGCCCTGCACGTCGTCTATTTTGTCATGTCATGCCCACGACGTGGCCATCATGTCTCCACGTCGTGGTAGCTGCTGACTTGGTTGACCGTTGACTTTTAACCAGTTTGACTTGGGGTCAAACTTGGAGGATTTTGGTTGTTGGTTGATGATTCATCTCTTTTGGTTTTAGTCGGTTCACGAGATTGAACAATACAATGTGTGAGAGTGTTGTGCTTCTTCGGTTCTTCAGTTCAGGCGAGTTTCTCATTATGCCATGTATATCATTGTATATACTTTGCATGGTATGATAGAGCTACCGTTAGTGTACAAGTATGCTAGTTGACTAGGGTAGCTCATTGTTATGTACGTGCAGTGTAGAACACTTGGTGTCATGGTATGTTAGACCGGTAGGGTCTTTCATGTAGATCGTATGATACTGTTAGGAGTTATGTTTGGCTAAGGTAACTAGGGAAGGCCAGTAATCAGGATTATGTATGATTGACCAGCAAAGGACTTAATTAAGAAGTGGTCAATAACAGGGTTACTAGGGAAGGCTAGTTGCCAAGGGTATGTAATATGCTAGTATCTGTTATGTGTTTATGTTACATGATTATGTGGTAATGTTATCATTGGTTCTATGTAGTCTAAGTTGGATATCTTGAGAACTCTTGGTCTAATGCCTTATTGTGATGTTCTTGTCTGATTGTTCGCTCTCGGGTGTATCATCTATTCGACTGTCTATTTGACCTCTAACTTCATATGACTTTATGAATTGTACGAAAGACCAGGATCTGGCCCTGACACTTGTACGTATGATCAGGATTTGGTCCATGGCAATTTGCAGGAGTGTTATAAGACTACGATATGGCTCGTAGCATTCACTTGGGATGAAATTGGCCCATTAGAAGAAATATGTCAGAAGTAATTGTTAGATTGTGGGAGGACCACAACATTCAGAAAATAGGTTTTGGCATGCATGGTTGTTATGTATGTTGTATGCTTATAGATAGGAGAACTGGAAGGTCGACGCTAGAGCCGAGGTCATTGTGTGAATGCATTGTGTGTACAGTGGAATATGTGGTATACTAGGGAATTCACTAAGCTTTATGCTTGCAGTTGTGGATTGAACATTTTGCAGGTCGTTCGTGAGAAGAGCTCGACGGGACTTTACACACGCATTAGAGATATTCGTTTATGTGGTTTTGTACACCTAACTCTGATAATGTATGGTTTTCAATCAACCAAATTCTATTCAATAGTTTGTGAAACAAAGTATAATTGGTTAATCTATTTTAACAATGAAAAATTCTTTTTGTAATTTTGGAACGTTACACCTGAAAATCAAATTCTAGAAATTAAACAATTTTTTTTATAAAGTAGTAATGAATTAATAAACTTTACAACCAACCCTGTTGAAATTACATTTGTTGAAGAGTTTATGCCCTCATCAAAACGTTGAAAGTTTCCTTCCAATTAGTGACTCAAACAACCGCAATGTCATATCACACAAACAACCTGTATATAAAAATGTAGAAACGTCAAGTAACAAAATAATTTTTTTCATTATACTCACTCTTTTGTTGTGGTCAATAAGCAAACCAATGATACCATTGGACCCTCTATTCCCAGCCACATGTATACAACTAAATATCTAAATGTAACACTTGAGGTAAATTTTGTAACATTACCATGACAACCTTCTCCCATATATATCTGCAACTTGTATTGGCATGTTATTTCCTAAGGGTGGAAATTATCGACCCAACCTATAACCCGACATGAACCCATCACGAAAATAAATGAGTTTGGGTTGAGATTTCTGACCCGTTAACTCACCAACCCACCAACCCGTTTATTTCATGGGTTGGGTTGGGCTGGGTTAACTGTTTGTGTTCGCGGGTCAACCCGCCAACGTGACTATATATATATATATATATATATATATATATATATATATATATATATATATATATATATTAAAAAATTAAAATTTTATTTATGAATTAATAGAATATAATCAATATATGACGTTGGAAACCTCTTTTTTTCAAATGTGTTTCTTATTAAGTTATTATGTTAGATTAATATTTGATTGTTAATTTTATTCTAGTCAATGTAAAATGTCAACTGTTAATTAATTTAGAGACGTTTATAATTTATTTAAATTTAACATGTGAAAAGTTACCTGAAAATGACCCGTCGACTCTTTGACCCGAAATCGACCCACTGGCCTACGAACCCATACACTTAAACTAGTTATGTGGGTTAGGTTGGATTGATGTTTCCAACCCGCCAACCCATATATTGTATGGGTTGGGTTGGGTCAGTGTATTCTGACCCGCCAACCCGAATCCACCCCAATTGCCAGACCTACTATTTTCTATAAAAATCATGGATTCCAAGTCAAGAGCTCCAAAAGTCATGTACACCATATGGTTCACCCAACCAATTTTATGAATGTATTAAAAAGACGTGTATCATCAAATGTACACAAATATAATTAGTTTTTTATATCTAACAATCATAATAGTCAAATGGAAAAGAACTATAACCATCATGTTTACAAAACACATAAAACTGATCCATTGGTTGTGAAAGATCTAAACACACAATAATTAAATAGTAATCAAATTTATAGTTGATATGACATATTTAAACACTTGTTGAATCAAATATCCATACAGTAAGCAAATATAGTAAGAAAAATGAAGGATTAGAGCATTTGACATAACTCGTTACTTGTATTATTTTAGTCAGTAAAACATTTACATCTAATGGGCAATACATCATTTCCCCTACAAAATCATGTTTCCAATCGTATAACCATATCTCCCCAGCAAAACTTTTAGTGCTCTATACGACCTCTGTAAGGCCATCGACTTGTATAAGCCATATGTTGAATCATCATCAACAATATGATCAGTGTTACCATTCTCAGGTAATCTGATAAGTTGGAACAACAGAAAAACAAAAAATTAATACATAATTACCTCATCAAAATGTGTTATTGATTGGTGCAAGGTGTTGGGTTTCTCGATTTGTTCAATATGAAATCAACAATCGGGGAGTATAAAAGAACCCAAAAAATTGAAATCAACATCGATATGCTACATGAAGAAGCCATATGTTTAATCATCATCAACAATCTGATCAATGTTACCATTCTCAGGTAATATGATAAGTTGGAACAACAGAAAAACACAAAGAAATTGCAATTGAGACTAATGGAAATAAAGAAGAACCACTTGAAAGTTGAGATACCAAAATTCCATTTTCTTGTGGTGTGGTTTGTCGCCAGAATAATGATGCGAGGGCAGAGACTATGCGAAGACAACATTAAGAGACAGTTAGTGGAGACAACTTAGGGTTAGGGGTGTGTGATGTTGGAATTAATGGCGACAAAGTGATATGGTTAGGGTTTCTCATCTCGACAAAAGGTAGAAGTGGGGCGACAAACGGGGTGGTGGAGGGCGGTGGCGGAAAAAGTGGATTTTCAGGGCGTTGACAGAAGATAGAAGCGGGGGACAGATGGGGTTGTAGATGGCGGGGGAGTAAAAGGTAGACTTCCAGGGCGTCGATCATCTAGTTGAGAGGGTAGAACATTTAGGTGCCCAGTGACCTACTTCGGGGTTATAGCGACGTCATCACGAGGGTGGTGGCAGTGACGACGTCATGAGTGTGGTGGTAATGGAGGCCTGCTGTAAATTGAAGAGAGTAAGTAGAGAGACATAAGAGATTTGAGAGAAACGGCGACTGATGGTGTGTAGAGGATATTTGGGTTTTCCACATTTAGACACATGGAGAAGGTATCGTAAGTTACAATGAAAGGAGCGTGTAGACGTTTGCATTGTATGGTTAATAGGATTGTACATAGTGTTATAATTGGTATACCTTTTATATTTCAAGAAATAAGCAATATGTTTAATAAGATAGTAAAAATGTACATGATGTTATAATAGATATACACAGGGACGGGCGCATGAATACATACTAGGTATTGCCGATGCTGAAATAGGTTTGCAGGTGAAGGAAAAATAGGTAAAAAAGATCGAAAATCGAAAAATTTTCCATTGCGTACGCGGGAACTAGATGATATCAGTGCCACACCTGACACCTAGGTAAAACCGCCTCTGGATATACCTCTTAATTATCAAGAAATAGACAATATGTTTAATAAGATGTAAAGATATAACATGTCAACACAATAACTACAAACTCAGAAATCACTTTATTCACAACGTTAAACTATTACATTTATATTTATTGCATTTACCGATTATTGGATGACATGTAAACCAATATATAACACCTACAAATTCAAATTAGTTTAAGAAGTGCTAGGTCAAATATGTAAACTATGCATTGATACTTAGGTAAAAAAACCCACGATAAGTCGGTAACTATAAAAATTTTAGACGAGTTTGACAAATTAATAACATATTAGGCTTTAAAATATATGCCCATCTCGAAGTTAAATATACTTGAATAGTATATAATATAAAAATATAAACATATAATAATCTATGAGTAAGCACGTGCCACCGAAACTTTTATTTCTCGGAAATTAATTAATTCAAGCACCTTTTGACATGTATTTGAAAAAATAACCCATTTTTTTTTCCAAAATAACCATATTGTCCGTAATGAAGTATTCTGGACCAAGAAAAAAACATTTTTTTATTATTTCCGGAATGGCATTCCGGATTCCAGAGTAAAATTTTGGATTTTGGGAAAAAAAACCCTGAAATTTCAAAAACAAGTCCAAAATCCGAAGAACAATTCCGGAACTTTGAGAAAAAAAAACAATTTTTTTACTTAAATTTAACAAAAAGTCAAAAAAAAAACATATTAATGTGAACTATATATGATATTAGTGCATGAAATTAGACATTTTATTGAGAAACAATGATGAAAGTAACTGCATGTCAGCTGGAAAAGTGTGTGTGTTGACTGGGGTTATGGCGAGTATTCAAGAATAAATATGGGTGAATATTGAAGGCAAAGATTACCAAGTTTATGTGAAAGAAGTGGCACTATGGGAACCTGATGTGGCAGATGATGGTAGTTTTGTTGAGGAATCCAACAATTCCATTGGATCGTTTGATGAAGGAGAAGATGAGTCTTTTGGTTTAAATTCAGATAAGGAGAATGAGGAGTATGATCAAAACCATGAAGATGATACTGTTAATGAAGTGAACAGTGAAACCGAACCTGTACAGGGGGTGGGAAAAAGTGATGAGGCTGGTAATGATGAAACAGGGAAGAATAAACCTCCAAATGCTTATGTACCATTGGTGGGTATTGGTTCCGGTTCAGCTAAGAGAATTGACCTTGATAACGTGCAGTCAGAGGATCAAAGGAGTAGTGATAGTATCTCGAAGCCACCTGGTTTCGGGGGTAAGGTGTTCAAAGAATCTCGCGGTTCTTTTCACTATTTAGATGACAATCCTAGGAAGTCGTGGAGTACGGGGTCGGTAAAGATTTTGAAGAAAACTACTCCATCTGTGGGGGTTAGCTCTTGTGAAGAGGTGAGTAAGTTCATTGAATTAGGAAAAATCTTAGGATACGATGTGGAGAATGCTAAGGCGGATTTGAAAAACCGTCTAATCGGTATGGGAGTGCTTCAATCTTGATGAATTGTGTTTCGCTTAATGTTTGTGGCCTGAATACGTCAAAAAAGCGTAGTTGGGTTAAGGAGATTTGTAATAGTCATGTGGTGAATTTTATTGGTCTTCAAGAAACCAGATTGACTCGGGTTGACCTTGTCAAAATAAGGGCTCTTTGAGGTAATTCGACCTTTGATTTTGCTTGCACTACGGCTAGGGGATGCTCGGGTGGTATTTTATCGGTGTGGGATAATACAATGTTTAAGAAGGAGAGTATTCACTGTCATGAAAATGTGGTTATTGTTGAAGGCACCTGGATCAGGAAAAATATTAAATGTACTATGTTTAACGTGTATGCCCCTCAAGATGCTGGAAAGAAAAGGGAGTTATGGCAATATCTGATCTCGTATATGTCCAGAGTAAATGGTGCTTTTATAGTCTTTGGTGATTTCAATGTGGTTAGATCTTCTAATGAAAGACGTGGGAGTTTGTTTTGTGCTTCGCAAGCTGCTGAGTTTAATCAATTTATTTATGAGGCAGATCTGTTTGATATTCCTATGGAGGGCCGGAAATTTACTCGAGTGGATAAGGCTGGTGCTAAGCTTAGTCGTTTGGATCGATTCCTTATTTCTGAAAGTTTGTTAGGTGATATTCCCGATATCTCTTGTATTGCATTGGATAGGAGGTGGTCAGACCATTGCCCGATGCTTCTGAAGGAAGATCAGAATGATTATGGTCCTATTTCTTTTAAGCTGTTTAACTCGTGGCTTCAGATGGATGGTTTTTCCGATGTGGTTTCTCAAGCGGTTAGAGATTTTAGTCCAGATTGTAATCTAAATAAATGTATTAATCTGAAGAACAAACTTAAATTCGTTAAAGCCAAGATTAAGGGCTGGCAAGCTGATATGCGTAAGTTGAAAGGGGAACAAAGAAAAGCGTGTATTAACCGGTTGCTCGATATTGATAATCTGATTGATAGTGGGGTTGCTTCGGATGATGTCATGACAGAGAGAACGAATATTCTCCAACATGTGTCGGATATTGATAAGGCGGATACTTTGGATTATGTTCAAAAGGCTAAGGTCAAGTGGGCGATAGAAGGAGACGAGAATTCTAATTTCTTCCATGGTATGCTAAAAAGAAAAAGAAAACAAATGGCGATTAAAGGAATCTCGCAGGATGGTATTTGGGTGACTAACCCAGATAGCGTTAAGGAGGCTTTTTTTAGAGTTTTACAAAAACAAATTCAAGCATTACAACGTGGTCAACATGGGTACTCCTAGTGCTCGGTTCCAAAAACTTAATGAAGGCCAGGTGGAGTCCTTACAAGCGTATTTCTCGGATGATGAAATTAGGGATGCAGTGTCGTCGTGTGGGAGTGATAGGGCTCCGGGGCCTGACGGATTTACGTTTTGGTTCTTGAAACAATTCTGGAGTTTGTTTGAGAAGGATGTGTATGATTTCATGCGAGAGTTTTTTGATACCGGTATCATTTCACCATGGTGCAACTCTTCTTTTATCACGTTAATCCCTAAAGTTGAAAATCCCACTGAGATCAAAGATTACAGGCCGATTAGTCTCATTGGGCTGCAGTATAAGATAGTTGCGAAGTTATTGGCTAATCGATTGGCTAAGGTGGTAGACTATTTAGTCAGTCCGGTTCAGTCTGCTTTTATAAAAGGTAGACAGATTCTTGACGGACCTCTTATGGTCAATGAAATTGTTAGATGGTCCAGGTTGAAAAAAAAGAAAATGTTGCTGTTTAAAGTAGACTTTGAAAAGGCCTACGACTCAGTTTCATGGGAGTATTTAGATAAGATTATGGAGGTTATGGGATTTGGCGAGAAATGACGCATGTGGATTAGGGGTTGTTTGCAGTCTGCTAGGTCATCTGTCCTTCTGAATGGTAATCCGCCAGCTGAGTTTCAACTGCAGCGTGGTCTGCGTCAAGGAGATCCACTATCCCCAATTTTGTTTATTTTGATCATGGAAGGTTTACATGTGTGTATGGAGGATGCTATTCACAATTCGGTTTTTAAAGGGGTTTTTATTTGAGATTAGAATCTGCATATTTCACACTTGTTTTATGCGGATGATGCTATTTTTATTGGAGAATGGGATGCAAAGAATATTAAGAATTTAATTCGAATTCTTAGGATTTTCTTTATGGTGACTGGGCTCCAGATTAACTTGCATAAGTCCAAACTATACGGAGTTGGTGTTGAGTAGGAGGGTATTGCACAGTTAGCTGCGTGTACTGGGTGCGGTGCAGATTCTATTCCTTTTATTTATCTTGGGCTTCCTGTTGCTCAGCTCATGCATAGGAAGTTGGCGTGGGACTCAGTTTTTACTAGGTTTCGCAAAAACTTTCTATATGGAAATCAAAGACGTTATCTATTTGGGGCAGGTTAACTTTGGTTCGTTCGGTGCTTGGCAGCTTGGGCACTTACTTTCTTTCCATGTTCCGGATGCCTATCTCGGTTTCTAAGGACTTGGAAAGAATTAGAGCTAGGTTCTTTTGGGGAGCTGATGATCGAAAAAGATTTTTACACTGGATTAAATGGGAGATGGTTTTAAATGATAAAAAAATGGTGGCCTTTCTATAGGTAGCTTGACATCATTTAATCACTCCTTGCTGTACAAATGGCATTGGCGGTTTTTGAATAGCCCTAATCTTCTGTGGGTGGATCTTATTAAAAGTTGTTACGGGAGTGATGGAGGGTTCTGCATGGCTTCACGGTCCAATTCAAAGAAAGGAGTTTGGATGGGGATTGTTAATACGGTTTGGGATATGCATAATAGAGGCTTAATTCCTTTTGACTCTATATGTAGGAAGTTGGGGAATGGTCAAAGTATTAGGTTCTGGAATGATGTTTGGTGTGGTGACATTATGTTGAGAGCTAGATTTTCTAGGCTCTGTGCTGTAGCTAGTGATGTTGATGCATTGGTTAGTGACTATTGGGATGGTCAAGATTGGAGGTTTCAATGGGTTCAAAATTTTGATGGTGGGGTGTTGGCCGATCAAGCTTTGCAACTGAGGAATTTGCTGCAGTCGGCACATATTTCAGCTAGAAGAGATTCTTGGCGTTGGTCCTTTGGTTCTGAAGATACGTTTTTGGTGAAAGAGACTCGTCTTCAATTGGACCGGGCTATTCTTCCTTCAGGTGGCTTGGCGACTAGATGGAATAGGTGGCTTCCTATTAAAGTTAACATTTTTATTTGGAGAGTGGTGCTAAATAGAATCCCTACGAGAGATAATTTGGATAGAAGAGGGTTAGACATTGATTCGGTTCTGTGTCCGGTTTGTCGGCAGGCTTGGGAGGACATAAACCTTTTGTTTTTTACTTGTTCGGTGGCTTTACAAATTTGGTTTAAGGTGGCGAAGTGGGTGGAGCTTCATATCCCTTCGTTTTTGTCTGTTGAAGAGCAGCTGCAGTGGGTTGATGGGTTGACGACGGTGCGCTCTAAAAGGTCAATTATGGATTCGGTGTGCTCTACTTTGCTGTGGGTATTGTGGACGTTTCGAAATGACATCATGTTTGGGAATAAGAAGATGAAAAAGGAAATTTTGTTTGATTCCGTTGTTTCTTTTTCTTTTAATTGGTATTGTGCTAGGAATTGTAAGGCTAGTATAAGTTGGACCGAGTGGTTGAAAAACCCGATCATGAACTAATTGTTTTGTTGTGGTTTTGCTAGTTTTTTGCTAGCTTTTAATTCATTATGCCGTTCAAAAAAAAAAACAATGATATTAAACATTTCGAAATGTAACATTTGAAATCCCAAAATAAAATAAAAAAATTTATTTGAAAAAAAAACTCCGGAATATGAACACTACTCCGGAATTAGACATTCCGAAGAAAGTAGTTATTTTTCAAAAACTGAAAAAATATGGTTATTTTCTTTGAAATCTCATTTATAAGGGTTAGTTATTCAATTTCTCTTTATTTCTAGCTTTTTTTTTTTTTTTTAATTTTATATTTAGTCACGGTGGCGTTATTATTAGAATATATTATACGAACATGTCCCTATAATTTAAGATAATTTATATGTTTGGTCATTATTATTATTATTATTATTATTTTTTAATTCAGACCATCCTTATAATTTTATTTTGTTCGTGTTTAGCCCCTGTCAAAAATAAAATGACTATTATACCCTTATATATTTATTTTTTTATTTTTTATTGATCATTTTGAATTAAAAAAACCCCATAAAGAACCCTCCACCCCTACCTAACTAAAGCAGATACATCTCTCTCTCTCTCTCTCTCTCTCTCTCTCTACTAACACAAATGTCTAGTTCTCGAGTTTTAGCAAATAAAAGAAAATAAATGGAAAGAAAGTACCGAGAGAAAAGAAGAAAAAAAAAAGAAAAAAAATTGTATTCAGTGTTCCCGAGTGGTAGAGAAGTGAAAGAAAAATTAAACATTTTGATCATTTCTACCCAAATCCTTCCAAATTAGAAGGAAAATTAGGAAGGAAAATGATCCTTTCATTTACTTTCTTTAATGAAACTTAGGATTGCCAATTTCTTTTACTTTCTTTTAACTTTCACCCATTACCTTTCTTTTCCCTCGTTAAGTTAAACTCGTGAACATAGTGTAAATCCCAAATCATGAAGCACTTAAGAGTAATTTGTTATAATGAAGGCTTTCACGGTACGACTTTACGCTACATGGAAGGGTTCTGGGTATCTTTGGAATTTACCTCCATTAAAGCTAAGGAAAAGTTTCAAAATCATGCAGGGATTTTGTCTTCTTTTTCTTCTATTATTCCTTGTTCTAAATCATTTGTAATAGAAGAGCGTGTTGTTTGGGTGGATGTAGAGGGAATCCCATCTCTTGCATGGACGCCTAAAACTTTCACCAAGATTACTAATAAGTGCGGATACTTATTTTATTAGAAGACCCTAATGACAATAATTTATGGCGTAAGCATATGTGCATAAAGACTATGTTGGTTACAATTATTTTGGAATATTTTAAAGTTATAATTCAAGGTAAGGTAGCTTTGTACGGGCCTGGGAAG